ATTAAAGTCATTTTCTGAGGAGGGCTTTATCTTCATTACTTTTCAGCCAATTATGAACTTAAAAGGTAATTTTCTAAAGGGGACCTTTTATGGGGAGTATCATCAATTATGGACCGAAAATTATGTAAAAAGATTTAAGTTCCTATAAAACTTGTTTATTTCGAATTTCTTCGCTCTAGTAGTATTTTTAAGCTAGCTATGAGCGTTGAAGTAGTTTTGTGAAGAGGACCTTATATGGGCATTGTGAAATATGATCATATCCTTATAAAATTTATTAGTAAAATTTACATAGTTATGAGCGTTCATGTGTTTATCTGATGGGCCCCTTCTATGGGGAGCAGTAGGGATGCCAAACGGGACTGGCTTTTACAAATCCCGGGATTCGGGATTTTGAAAATTGCAATCCCGGGATCCCGGGATATTTCGGGATCCCGGGATTTTTCGGGATCCCGGGATTTTTCGGTATTTCGGGATTTACGGGATTTCGGGATTACATGAATTTAATTATTTTATATATGAAAATCTTTAAATCATCATATTTGTAAAGAAAATTGTTTAATTTTGTGGAAATTTAACAGACAGAAGATATATTTAAATTAAAACAATCCAATTAATTCCAATTTTTAAATAAAAACTTTCAGAATTGCATAATTTCTGAAACTTTTTAAATACATACTTACTTCCTAAATAAAAATAAATATCAAGTTCCGAAATTAGACATAAGCACTTTTTAAAACCTCATACTGTTCCATGTGAACTAATAATTATAACAGATACCAATTCAATTATTCGAACATCAATTTAGAACCTATTCTTTGAAAAATATTTGGAATTTTACTCAAAATACATATTAGTTTTGGAACATATTATTATATTCGTAGTATTAATTTAAAATTTTAGGTGCATTCAGAACAAGGTAATTTACCTTTACCGGTATCATTCAGATTTGTAGAAAGTTAGAAATGTAAAATCCTCTAGTATTGAAAAATAAAGTTTGTATTCGACTGTGCCGAAATTAAATACCCACCATCAAAATATTGTAATGTATTGATATTAATATCAGCATCAATGTGATTTTCAGAGGAGGTCCAATTAGGTTTTTTTGTGTCAATTTTGGTCCAAATTTGCAGCCCAAATAGAATGAGTCTTCTAACTCGTGTTTTCAGCTTACAGACACAGAATGTGTATACTTTTTGGGTCGGTCTACGACCAACATTGCAATGTGCTAACAAGTAAAAAGTTATAGTTGGGCGAGGCCTACCATATAATACCCTACACCAGTTATAAAAATAAAATGTGATTTATTGTTCATAATAAAGCATCTAAGTTGAATTGTACCTTGCCTCAGATATAATTTAGCTATTTTTTGTTGAATAAAATTGTGTACATTTAAGTCATATTTCGAAGGGGCTAGGGTCAAATGAGGCCGCATCATCAAAAAATACATCAGGGTCATGAAGGCTAGTATAGAACTTGGTTTTGCAGCTTTTTGTCGAGTTATGAGTATATTGAACATAATTATGAACTTAAAAACCCTATTTGGGGGGTTCAGTTGTATGGGGGCTAGGTCAAATATTGGACCGATGTTATCCATTTTCAATAGGATCCGTCTCTAGTACAATAGAAGATCATGCAAAATTTCATTGAATTATCTTCAAAATTGCTGTAGTTTGATTACAAGGTTTACACGGACGGACGGACAGACGGACAGACGGACGGACATAGCTAAATCGACTCAGAAAATGATTCTGAGCCGATTGGTATACTTTAAGGTATATGACCAATATTATTGTGTGTAACAAACATCAGCACAAACCCAATATACCCTCCCCACTAAAGTGGTGTAAGGTATAAAAACGAAGTGAATAAATAAATTTATATGTGCTATGTGTATGGACTCATACCACTTTAAAAAATAAAAGGTTCAAATATGTATAAAATTAGCTTTGCAGAATTTTGTTTTGCATGAGTCAAAAATAAAATAAGATCGTAATTTTCAATTAATGAAAATTATGGCTCAAAAAAAGAAAATAAAAACAGTTTTTTGAAACAAATCCTAATCCCGAAAAAATCCCGGGATTTATTTTCCAAATCCCGGGATTCGGGATTTACCAATCCCGAAAAATCCCGGGATTTTCGGGATCGGGATTTCGGGATTGGCATCCCTAGGGAGCAGCATTAATCATAAACAAATATATCCGACATACTTTACAGAATACTTTTTGGATACATAAAACCAACTTGTGCCAAATTTGCTACATAATTAATTTCTCTCGGGATTTTATACTATATTTTGGGGATACTTGTATGTGGGCTATGCGAAAATGTGGACGTATGTTGCCCATTTGCAATACCAAACAAACTTAGTGATATCCCAATGAAATCAGTTTTTCAATTGCTTTTGGTAATATACTAAACACTTCTTGATAGCACACATTCAAAGTCGTAGTTTCGATACATATATTAATCAAAAGTTTTTACCATTATCTTTTTGGAAAGTGTGTGAATAATTAACACAATGTTTGAAATGTATGTATGTCCCTTAAATGGTCTTCGAAAGAGTAATGGTTGACAAATGGTTATATTTCCCAGAGGCTTATTGAAAATATTACGTTATTTTTAATTTTTATTAGTTTGAACTATATCTAGTGCTAAGTTTGAAAACATTTTAAAGCTGTTAGGCTAATTTCTTACTTACCCCCAATTTTAATCAAAATGTTAATGAATTTTAAAGAAAAAATCGGAACATAGGTTCGTTATTTTGCTAAAAATGTTTTGAAGTTAAATTTATATTTATAGAAATGCAAAAAGAACAACCGTGTCAAGTGACCCAACTTTTGAAATCAATGTCTTCTTATTTGCACCAAGGTTAGTGAATTAAATAGTAGGCCAGATACAAATTTTCAGCGCTATCGATCCAGAACTGCCATACTTAGAAGGGGTCAATGTTGGACATTTTGATCATACAGGGTTTTATTCAAATGAATGTAACTTTTCACCTATTGGTCCTAACAAAAATTTTTCAAAGGAGTTCAGATAGCTATTTCTTCATTGTTTCCAATTTTTTTTTTTAAATTTTTAAAATTTTTCTAAAATATTAAAAAAAAAAAAACAAAAAAAGACACTAATTTTTTGTTTAAAAAAAGCTTCCTTTAAGGGCTTTATAGTCCCATAATAGGATGCGAGTGGGATATAGTTCAAATACCCAGCAAAAAAAGTGAGGAAAAAGAAGTAGAATTTTCACCACAAATAACATACTTGAAGTACTTCCAATTTTGGTGAAAAACCTATGAATTTTACATTAGCGTGTCATTGGAGGGATGTTGTTCATTTTTGACAACTTTGAACTACATCTAATCTTATTCATAGATGCAGTAAAAATGCGATATTTGGATGTCAAAAATAAACCACATTCTTTCAATGACACGCTTATGTAAATTTCATTGGATTTTCACCAAAAGTTGATGTACTTCGAATATGTTATTTGTAGTGACTTTTCAACATCTCATCATGTAAGGAAATATTTGGTTTATAGAAGCGAAAAATATGCAATCGCATTTTTAAATGTGATTAAGATGTCGTTTGTAAAGTATGACATCAATTATTTTTTGCTGGGTAGTTATAGTTAGCTATGGATCAATTATAAGATCAGTCCCTATTGCATTCTAAGTACTTAAATTAAATCCAGAAATATATATTTTTTGCAAAAAAATTTATTATTTATTATATGATTTTTTTTATGTAAATATTATTTTATGTTTTTTTTCAATAAAATTAGTTGTTGTTTTTTTTTGTTTATTTTCAAATACAATTTAAAATTATTTTATAATTATTATAATAATAAATTTTAGTTAAAGTATAATTTAAATATTAGTAGAATTGTTGTTGTTGTTGTTTGTTTAATATAATATAATTAGTATTGTTGTAGTAGTAGTAGTAGTAGATAGAGTATGATTAAATACATATAATTATACATCATTAAACATGAAATAGTTTATAATTTAAATTTAATGTTGTTTTGTTTGAATAATTTTGTTTATTATTATTTAGGATTAAGTCTATTAGTTTGATTTTTGTCCCCCCACAAAAGAGAAACATTTTCAAGAACAAAGAAATTAATTAATAATTAGTAAACACTAAGTTAAGTAAGAAAAAACTTTAGCTTTTAAAACAATAAAATTTAATTAATAGAGTTTAGAATTAACTGCGGAAGCAGTAATTCAAACTTTTGCCACATATTTTTAAAGCACAATTATAATTGTTATTAGCGCAATTTGGCCGTAATTTGTTTTAGTAGATTTTTTTAAAATTAATTTAATTATTTTTTTTAAGCTTAATAAACTAATAAGGCGCTGCATTATCGTATTTTCACAAAGAACTAAAACTAAATCATAGATAAATGTGGGACAAATATTTGTCTTTTCTTTCTTTTTCACAAAAAGAAATTAAAACAATTTAAAAAACTAAAAAAAAATATTATTTAAAATAACAAATAATTACTTTTTAAACATTAACAAATTTATAGCGAAAAAACAAAGTGATGAAAGAAGTAAAATTTTTATTAACTCGTTATTATTAGTACTATTGTTTTAATAATTATTGTTGTTGTTTAATTAATTAATGAAAAATTTAACACTAAATAAAATTAATTTAAATTTGTTTAAACTAAACTTAAAAACTACACACAAACAAAATATGTAATTGATATTATCAAGATTTCACTTCTTGTTAATATAAATTTTGATTTTAGAATTTAATTTAGTTTTAATAATTAAACTAAGTTTTACAAAATTAATATAACAAAACAAATTAAAATTAGATTTTATTTATGTAGATTTTCTTTTATAATAACAAACAAGCGCCGCTTTATTTTTCATCAAATTAAAAAGTGCCAGAAAATTATTTTGTTACTTTTTTATTTTAATTATTTTGTATTAAAAATTAAACAAATGCCATTTTAAACTTAAGGAGAATTACTAAAATTATTCCCTATCTTTTTCTGTTACGAATAACTTTTCCTTTAGAAAAGAAAAACTCAATACCAGCGCCAAGTATTTTCTCACATTTCAATTATTTTTCTCTTTTCGTTTGCAACTCTTAAATGTTCTCTTAATTTAAACTTATTTTTAATTTTAGTTTTCTTTTATTTAGATTTTTATTTTGTTAAATAATATTAAATTTATTATAAATTTTATTATGTATGTATGTATGTATTTATGTGTGTATAATTGTTTGTTAAATATTTTACAATAGTTTAAATAATTCACAAAAAGAAAATGTTTCTTAAATTTTTTGTATAATTTGTTTTAAGTTCAAAAATTTATAAATTATTTTATTTAAAATTTATTAGTGTTTTTCACAATTTTGTTTTGGAGTTTCCATTTTTTTTTTTTGTTTAATTTACACACTAGGAGTTATTCTCACAGTCATCGGGTTTGTGCTTCATACGCAAATTGCTTAATAAATCGGCACAATTATTCACCATCATCATGTAATCGCCATTTTCTAAATTTGCTTGCTCGGTTGTCGAGTACGTATGATTCGGATGTTGATTGTTTTTATCATTTCTGTAAATTAAAGAGGAATCGAAAATATTTTTAATAAACATTTCAATGATCTTGTTGCGAAAAAAAAACTTGACTCAAGAAAGAGCACATATTTGAACTACGAATATTCAATATTTCTTTACTTTTTTCAAAATTTTCTCAAACAACTTACTTATTTTGTGTTATATTTGTTAACATATTTTGTGTCATAATCACAGCATTCTCCAATTCTTTTAGCATTAAAGAATCCTCACAATTGCGTAAATTAGCATGCAATTGTAATACGGTTTGTGTAGTGGTATACAATTTATTAATAACATTATGAACTTGAGATTTAGCTGAAAAATATTAACATATTAATAAATTTTATAAAATTTTATCTTATTTAAAAGCCAAACTTACGATCTCCATTGCTATCTAAATCAGCAAATTCGACAGCTTCATAAACGCCTCGTTGTTTCACCACATTGGGACTGTTAACAACTTTGTTCTTATGATCGAAAGCTAAATTACGAGGACGTGGTGGCACAATAGGTTTTGTGTTGGAAGAACTGCCCTGTGTTTCTTCAGAGCTGGAGTCATCTTGTGGAGGTGCTGCAAAAGAAACAAGGCAATGTAATACGTATTTACTTTTTTGGATCAGTTTTTTTGATTCCACCGAACTATTAATTGAATATGTATTCGGGCTTGAGTTCGAGTCCCTCTTGGAGAACATTTTTATTTCTATCTATCTATCTATCTATCTATCTATCTATCTATCTATCTATCTATCTATCTATCTTCTATCTACTATCTATCTATCTATCTATCTATCTATCTATCTATCTATCTATCTATCTATCTATCTATCTATCTATCTATCTATCTATCTATCTATCTATCTATCTATCTATCTATCTATCTATCTATCTATCTATCTATCTATCTATCTATCTATCTATCTATCTATCTATCTATCTATCTATCTATCTATCTATCTATCTATCTATCTATCTATCTATCTATCTATCTATCTATCTATCTATCTATCTATCTATCTATCTATCTATCTATCTATCTATCTATCTATCTATCTATCTATCTATCTATCTATCTATCTATCTATCTATCTATCTATCTATCTATCTATCTATCTATCTATCTATCTATCTATCTATCTATCTATCTATCTATCTATCTATCTATCTATCTATCTATCTATCTATCTATCTATCTATCTATCTATCTATCTATCTATCTATCTATCTATCTATCTATCTATCTATCTATCTATCTATCTATCTATCTATCTATCTATCTATCTATCTATCTATCTATCTATCTATCTATCTATC